GTGCCCCCTGTCCATGCAGGCCGAACCAGGTGCCAAGGACGACACGCTGGGTCCCCGTCAGACAGACCCTACCGCAGCCACGGTGACACCGCGACAGCTGCCGCAGACTGCCTCTGTGCACACAGAGCGCCCCACACTCGGGCGTCCCCGCTAGCACACTCAGCACCAAGGACAGCGCCCAGCTGGCGCCCAGGCCCACTCGTCGCGCCTTCAGCACCAAGGACAGCGCTCAGCAGGCATCACCCCGCGTCGAGCCCTCAGCACCAAGGACAGCGCCCAGCTGCGTCACCCCTCGCGTCGCGCCCCCGGCACCAGGGACAGCGCTCAGCAGGCATCACCCCCTCCAGTCGCGCCCTCGGCACCAGGGACAGCGCCCAGCTGCATCACCCCTCCCGTTACGCCTCCGGCACCAGGGACAGCGCCTCGCGGCCAGCCTCTGTGCTGCAGGAACCAAAGACAGAACCCAGCGGACCCGCTGTCCCACAGCTGAGCACCACGGAGCCCCGCAGGCCCCCGTCCGGCTCGGCTTGCCTGGCCGAGAGAGCGGTGCCCGCAGCCACCGTGGCGTGCAGGCCTGGGCTGAGCGTCAGGCCTCTGACTCACCTGGTCTTTCGCACAGCGATGCCCGAAAGCAGTGACTGTCGCTGTTCTTTCCGTGCGCGTCCGCAGACCAGAGAGAGGAAGGACGGCGCAGCCCGGCGTCTTCATCTTTGGCGGGTTAGGTGGGATCACAGCGAGACCGTCCGACCCGGCCGCCGCGGGCCGTCCGGAGTCGTCTCCCGGCCGACTGGGTGAAGGCGCCGGCCGCAGTCCTCACGTGAGACTTGGGGGTGGTCTCAGCACTGGGACGGGCACATCCTCCTCAGTGAGCTTCGAGGACGTGTGCACGTGGCACCGGCCCCGTGGGCGACAGGCGGACGGGCGTGCTCTGTGGGGGCCAGTCGCCGTGCAGCGGCGCGGCTTCCCCTTGTGCCGGTCTGCTCCTCCGGGCGGCGCTTCCTGTGTGTGGACAGAAGACCGGGCTGGGGTCAGGGCTCGGGCTCCGCCCTCACACTGTAGCTGTCACGCTCCGCCTGGCCAGTGGTGTCTGGGCCGGGCGGGGGTCTCTGGTGTCCAGCTCTGAAAGCACTAGCCGCAGCGGCCGCCCTCACACTTGTTGGCGCCGCGGACATCTGTCCAGCGAGTCACGGTTCACGCCGCCCCCACGGTGCCGGCAGCGCCCGCCCGTGCCGCTTCAGGGCCA